CAGTGAGGAAGAGGTTTAGGCCCTCCAGCAGCATCCAGGTGAAGGAGGCCAGGTAGAGATAGTGTAGGGCACCTGCGATGATGGCGCACAGCACCTGGGGTGGAGTAAAAGACACTGAGGGCAGCAGTCTGGTCTAGGAGTGGTCCAGGAATGCTATACCCAGCCATTGTGGGGGAATTCTGATGTACATAATGGAGTTGGAAAGGGAAGATTTGTTTTCTTTATGCTGACGGGGCATAGTTAAAAAAGAAAGGAAATATAAAAGAGAATAAAAGAAAAATTTGTTTTCTAGTTGGGTAAGGCAGTGTGAAATTGGCAGGTTCCTCTTCTAACCCTCCCAGGACTCAGGGTCATTTCATTAAAGTATCCAAAGCAGCATCATTCCATTAACCAGAACCTTCTAGGGCAAGGAAGGGAGTCCTTTGCCTTTGATAGTGGAACACCACTATTAGTACCTTGGGTTTGGTTAGATCAATCACAGTGAGGAAAAGGAGGTGGGCCAGGAAGAGGCAGATGGAGAGCTGCAGGTGCAGTGAGGTGCTGGTGTTCTGGATGGCCTTGCACAGAAGGAGGGTGAGGGCTGCCAGGAGGAGGCACAGCAGGGAGAGGCTCAGCCCTATGTAGGTGATGAAGTTCAGCACCGGCTGGTCTTCCTGGGAAAAGAAAGGTTCACGATTAGAATTACCTGCGCTGGGGTAATGACTCCCACTACCATTTTTATTCTTGTATTGTTTATGAAATCCAGGAATGGAGGAGGAAGGTATGTATGTGAGGTTAATCTAGAATTTTATGAGGTTCTGAACTAATGAATTTAGCCCCTGGGAGGACTGAAGGACAGAAAGAGTCATCTCTTGCCATACTGGATGCCGACCCAGAGAAATTGTGGGATAATGAATTTGTTTTTGAAAGCTGCCACATTTGTAGGAATCTGTTACACAGCAGTAGATACAGAATGCATCTCCTCTCACCAGCTCCTCGTAGTGCGCCAGGAGGACGGCAAAGCTGCTGAGGTGGGTGCAGTGGCAGGTGGTGCTGTTGTCTCTGGTGTCCACTGTCCTGCAGCCTGTGGTGTCCCAATGTCCATATCCACTCTGGTCCTGCTCCCAGAAGGCACAGAATACCATCTGCCTTGGTCCAGGGATCACTGACTGTAGGTACAGGGAACAGGTGTGAGCTATGGATTGAGATGACCTGAGATCCTAGCTCAAAGTTGGCTTAAGAAGGGTTGGTTTTGGGGGGAGAGATGCAAATATGATGGGGGCCCCTAAACCCTAAGACTTAACTGAGCAATAAGGCTGTTCCCAGGACTCAGGTTTCTTCCAACGCCTGCCACCTCACCCTACCAGAACTCACATGATGGGAGAAGGTGAAAGTAACTGAGGCGCTGAGGTTCTGGGTGTTCTTGTTGCTCAGAAAGGCAGAGGTGACGTCTGAGAGCAGGACGGGGGGGACATCCTGCCTCCAGCCCTTGTGTGTTTTGTGCAGAGCTGCCAGCTGCTCAGGATCCAGGACCAGGAGGGCCTCGGCCAACAACTTGCCGATCCCTGGAGTGGACATGAGGCCCACCACAGAACGGCCTGTGGGACAAGGCCATGATTAACATCTTGTGATTCCCAGTGGGGCCTCATCTTTATTAAATAAACTCTTCTCCTAGAGCCCCCCATATCCCACACCTCTCTTTAATCTTTAAATATTGTTTTCCACATCTTTGGGCATTTTATCTCACCATGAAGCCTCGTGGACCTTTTAATATCTCAGCCATTACCTGTGTCACCAGGTTTCTGTGCCAGATTCCAGTTCAGCTGCATCTTTGCCTGATTCTGAGTCAAGGTGATATTCCTGTCTCCTTGGTCCTGCACCACCAGGGACAGTTCTATGAATTGTGGGTATTACATAAGGGAAGTGAGGTTAGGATTTGTGCCTGCAGTGGTTGACATAGCATTATTTTATGTGTGTGTATATATATATATTCATATATATATATGTATATATGATGTGTATAAATGTGTATATTTATATAAACACACTACCTATATACATTCTATAGCTAATGTATATGCTCACATTCATATATAATATATATGTTTACATATTAGAGAGTATTAGAAAAGAACAGTATAAGCAATTATACAATAACAGATTAGATAACCTAGATGAAATGGACAAAACTACCAAAGTCAACTCAGTGGGAGGCATCCCTTTATCAGACTTCAAGCTGTATTACAAGGCTGTAGTAATGAAAACAGCATGATACTGGCACAAACATAGAGGCATAGACCTGTGAATCAGAACAGAGAACCCAGAGATGAAACCATCCTCATATTCCCACCTAATCTTTGTTAAAGCAGATGAAAACATACACAGGGGGAAAGAATTCCTATTTAATAAATGGTGCTGGGAAAACTGGATAGCCACATGTAAAAGACTGAATTGGGATGCATACCTGTCACCACTCACAAAAATTAATTCATGGTGGATAATAGACTTAAACCTAAGGCATGAAAATATCAGAATTGTAGAATATGGTGGAAACACTCTTATAGATATTGGTGTAGGAAAAGAATTTGTGAAGACACCCCAAAAACAATCATAGCAATGACAAAAATACACCAATGAGACCTAATCAAATTCACAAGTTTCTGTACAATCTTTTCAAGTACTTCCCCTACACTCTCTTCAAGAATCATTATAGTTTCATGTCTTAAATTTAAATCTTTTATCCAGTGAGAGTCAATTTTTGTTAATGGTGAAAGGTGTGGGTGTAGTTTCAGTTTTCTATAAGCTGTCAGCACCATTTGTTAAATTGGGAATCTTTCCCCCAATTTATGTTTTTGATAGGCTTATCAAAGAGAAAATGATGATAAGTAGCTGGGTTCATCTTTTGGCTCTCTATTCTGTTCCATACATTTACCTCTCTATTTTTGTGCCAGTACCATGCTGTTTTGATCACTATAGATTTACAGTATAGCCTGAGGTCTGGTAGTGTGATTCCTCCTGATTTGTTTTTGTTTCTGAGTAATGTCCTGGCTATTCGAGGTTTTTTCTGGTTCCATATAAAATGAAGTACTATTTTTTGCAAATCTTTAATGTATGAAAGTGGTGCTTTATTAGGGATTGCATGAAATTTGTATATTGCTTTGAGTAATATGGACATTTTAACAAAGTTGATTCTTCCCAGCTATGAGCATGGTATGTTTTTCCATTTGTTAACATCCTCAGCTATTTCTTTTCTCAGAGTTTCCTAGTTCTCTTTATAGAGATCTTTCATGTCCTTCATTAGGTAAACTCCCAAATATTTCATCTTCTTTGATACTACTGTAAAAGGAATAGAGT